ATTTATGTAAAAATTCAAACATGCTTATTCTGACGTGTACATGTTAAAATATATAAAAGAATAAGAGAGCATATTACATTTGATTGTATTTTAAATGAGTAAAAAATTCTTACTGACAAATGCGCGAAACCTAGGATAGTGGCACATTTTAGAAATGTAAAATTACGACTAATTAGTATTTGGGGTGAAAGTAATTAGTCGTTTAATATGTCATAAATTGATGTTTGTTTGTTGTAAATATGCCTGAGAAGATAGTCACACTGAATTACATTTTAGTGGCTCTCTTCTGAAAATCAGGGGATAATGTGTGATATTTATTTTTTGCTCAGAAAAACAAAAACAAAATTGCAATTAAATTAAACAGAAAACTTTTACATTTTTGGGGGAAAAAACAACAATAATTTAAAGCAGTATTACACTTATTGTTTTTATGCTTAAACCCTTTTTCGTCTTTGACCCACATACTTAATGTTGTTGGAGGAACCTCAGTTTGTGAGTTGTTTTGGGACTGTTTAGGTGGGATATGTTTGGCAGGCTGTGTGTATTTGTTACTTTTTTATATTAAACCATATTAATCGTTCAATTGACCTGTTGGTTTCACACTGAGCCAGTAAGTTTTGCATAAGTTTATGCAAAAAAAATAAACATGCATAGAAATAATAATGTGACTTAATTTGACTCCCCTGTCATGTCTTCGATCAACATGACTAACAGTTTTATTCTTCAGGACTGTACTAACCTGTGACCAATAGGTGTCGTAGTGTTTTTCCATTTGTGTCGTTCCATTCGTCACCAGTAGATGGCGCTGCTGCGCTGCATAAGTGAGACCGAAGCACATCAGTCTGTGGAAGTTAATCATGCATCATAATAGCATAAGTTTATGCAAAAAAAATAAACATGCATAGAAATAATAATGTGACTTAATTTGACTCCCCTGTCATGTCTTCGATCAACATGACTAACAGTTTTATTCTTCAGGACTGTACTAACCTGTGACCAATAGGTGTCGTAGTGTTTTTCCATTTGTGTCGTTCCATTCGTCACCAGTAGATGGCGCTGCTGCGCTGCATAAGTGAGACCGAAGCACATCAGTCTGTGGAAGTTAATCATGCATCATAATATTATAATTACCTCTAAAACAGCTGTTATTACATTAGAAGGTTGGATCTCGTTTTGTTTCTTGGCAGGAACACAAATGTTTGTCCTGATCCAGTTGGTATATTTCAAGAGGCTTAAGTCTAAAGACGGCACTGAATTAACAAAATTAACAGCGTCCTTGTTAGTTCAGGTTAGTTTGGTGTTTGCAGTCGTAGGTTGTGTCTTGTATCGTGTTGTTTTTGTATCGTCACAAACTACTAGTTTTGGCTACAAAAAGGCTGTTTAACAATGTTGTTGCTCAGAAAAATACATATAATTTTAACTGTATGGAATTTTATATATTATATTTTGGAATATATATATACAGTCATGGCCCAAAGCTTTGGCAGTGACAAAAATGTTGTGTTTTGCGAAGTTTGCTGCTTTCAGTATTTGTAGATTATTATTCCACGTTTCTATGGTATACTGAAAAACAATGATAAGCATGTCATAAGTTTTAAAGGCTTTTATTGGCAAAAACATATAACGAGTCAGTATTTACAGTGTTGACTCTTGTTCTTCATAACCTCTGCAATTCGCTCTGGCATGCTGGATATTATCTTCTGGGCCAAATCCTGACTGATGGTGATCCATTCTTGCCTTATTAGTTCTCAGAGTTGATCACAAGCTTCTGCTTGTCCACTCTAGAGCTGAAGATCTTTGCTGGGTTCGGGCTCAATTTGTATCATTTTACATGGGCTCGGGCTTGCGCGGTAAATGAGCGGTCATGTGATGCGTTTCGATTAGCGCGAGAAAGATGTGAAGCCATCTACAGTGGATTCAATAATTTTCCTCCACAAAAACATGTGTCCCCCTCACTTCTGAAATGATGGCTACGCCCCTGCTCTATGGGATTGAGATCCGGGGAGTTGCCTGGCCACGGATGCAAAATTTCAATGTAATGATCTTCGAGCCACTTCTTTATCACCCTTGCTTTGTGACATGGTGCTCCATCGTGCTGGAAGATGCACGGATCGTCACCAAACTGCTCATGGATCGTTGGAAGAAGAAGTCGCTCTTGCAGGACGTTCTGATACCATTCTTTAGTCATGGCAGTGTTTTTGGGCAGAATTATGGATTGTTTGGTTTGATTAGCAACCCCACACATAGATGGTCTCAAGATGCTTCACTGTTGGCACGCCACAGGACTCGTGTAGCATTCACCTTTTCTTCTCCGAACAATCGATTTTCCTGATGTCCCAAACCGTCGGAAGGGAGCTTCATCAGAGAAAATGATGAAGAAAAGGAGACGGTCCTGGCGCTTGCTGGACACTCGGGGACGTCCTGAAGACTTCTTCACTGCAGTCGAACCTCTCTCTTGAAGCTCTTGATGATCCGGTAAATGGTTCTTTCAGGTGCAATTTCTTTGCATGTGAGGCCAGTTTGATGCAAAGCGATGATGGCTGCACATGTTTCTTTGGAGGTAACCATTGCTAACAAGAACGCAATGATCGGAAGCGCTTCTTCCCTCCATCAGTCTGCTCTTACAATCTATTTAGTGATTCACCTGACTAGTACTCATTCACACTTTCACATGGGCTGCTGATATGTGACCCTGTACCACAAAACCAGTCATAAGTGTCAATTTTTGCGAATAAATAAGCTTTCCGTTGATGTATGGTTTGTTAGGATAGGACTATATTTGGTCGAGATACAACTATTTGAAAATCTGGAATCTGAGGGTGCAAAAAAACCTAAATATTGAGAAAATCATCTTTAAAGTTGTCCAAATGAAGTTCTTAGCAATGCATATTACTAATCAAAAATGAAGTTTTGATATATTTACGGTAGGAAATTTACAAAATATCTTCATGGAACATGATCTTTGCTTAATATCCTAATGATTTTTGGCATAAAAGAAAAATGTATAATTTTGACCCATACAATGTATTATTGGCTATTGCTACAAATATACCCCAGCGACTTAACACTGCTTTTGTGCTGCAGGGACACAAATGATTAG